CACTTGGCCAGCCCCTTTACATTCCTTTTAATTGAATTTTAGCCACCTAAGAAGCAACTTTTCATTTCAAATTTTTCTAAAATGTTTTTCTGATCAATAATATATACAACCAAATTAAAATTTGTGACTATTACAATAAAAATCCCAAATATGTAAAGAACCATATGCTTTAGTACTACATCTTGAGTAGAAAAAAGTACATTTTGACTCATCTGTTACATTTATATCATGGCTTTATTCCTTAGAATAGGAATTCACAAGACGTAGCTACTTGTGATAGCTGTCCTAGGTGTGGCTATTTTTGTGTTCAATTATGGTATGTTCAACAATCAGCTATAATTTATTTTGGACTAAATGAGATGCTTTTTGAAGCATTTTTACAAATATAACATTCTGTGAAAATATAAGTATTTTTAATTTAATATTTTAAGAGAAGTCCAGTTTCTTTAAAATGTTTTATTTCAACATTGCTTAAGTCATCTACAGCTGGTCACTAAGCTTTCTTTTTGCCTTTATAATCCCTTGAAGAGTCTATCTATGAAAATCAACTTCAGATCAAAATTTTAGTTTTTAAATATGTGTAAATATGTTTATACTTACTGGGTTTTCTTTAATAGTACAATTTATATATGATTATTGTAAAACAAATGAAGTAATATAGATATAAAAAGTGAAAGTTCCCTGTATTCTTTTTATTTAATGTTTTTTTGCTGTATTTACTTGCATGCATTTTGCTTTTCAAATCGATTTTGTTTATTGCTTAATTTTAATAATCATATCTCATTTTATCATATTAACAACACTATGAAATAGTATGGGAATTATCACTATAGTTTACACATGAGGATACAGACAGATTATTAGTTTAGGATTACCTGAGTAATTGGATATGGATTTTCAGATTATTATTATTTTTTTAAAATTTTCTTTTATTTTAACATTTATTGATAATTTACAAAGAACTCAACCCAAACAAAAATATCAGTAAGCCAAAAGAAAAATCCAGTCAATAGCATTGAAATTCACAGCTTATCGGAGAGAACCAACAGAAGAGTTAACATGATATACCCTTTGTTCAGGATAATCAATATATAAAAGTCTACCATTCATTGAATACCTGATATGTGTTTGGTTTTCTCACTCAATATTAAAAACTGTGAGGAGGAGGTATTACTATTAGCTGAAATGCAGAGAGAGGAAAACTCAGTTGGATTTTCAGATTCTTTACCACTGATCTTCCTCCTGGACCAGTGGATTCCTATCTTTTCAAGAATTAGAGCGTAATGACTTTAAAAATATTTTTAGGCTCTCTTTTGATATTACTTACACTTTTCATATTATTCAGAGAAAAACATGAGAAATGACAAAAACGTATTCAATACTTAGTAACTCTTACATACCTTTTCATTTTCTTAACAAGAATACCTTTACCTATGCTAAAAATATTTTTTTCATATACATATGCAAGCCACTCCTCATTTTATCTACAGACAATCCTAGTGCATCCTAGGAATTATAGTAATGCCATTGTTTTCAGTTGTCAGAAGTTTGAAGATTGAGAATCACTGCATAATACCATTTTGAATTTAAAATTCATGTTTACATTATAGAGCATAGAAATGCCATATCATGTGAAGTGCCTTGTAGTCTAAGTACAACTGTAGTCATTTACATTTAAAATTTTACAAATACTAGAGCCAAAATCTAATTAAAATTTTTTTTTTACACAGATTATCGAAAAGGCAGCTGAGATTGCAAGCAGTGATAGTGCTAATGTATCAGTAAGTATCAAGGTTTTTAAATGGCCCTTTTTTATTATAATGTTGTGCTTATTATTAGCTACCTTCATCTCATTTATGGCAATGAACTTATAGAAGACCATACTCATATGGCATTCATTATTCATTAGTATATTTACTAACTAGTATCCATTAGTTAGTAAATATATGTACCCCTACTGATGGATGCTTTGCTTATTTTCAATTCTCCACTAAAGCAGTGCTGCAGTGACTATTTTGTACATATTTCTTTATACATATGTGTATTTTATAGGATGGATTTCTAGAAATGAAATTTTTAGATCCAAAGATATGTGCCCTTTTCATAAGAATTCTGCCAAATTGCATTACCATAAAAGATGGAAAATTTACAACCTCATCCACACTGAAAAAGTTCTTATCTTTTTGTATTTCTACCAGTTCTTTTAATACGTTAATCCAGTGGACAAAAAAGGTATCACATTATTTTAATTTACATTCCTTTATTTCTAGTCACGTTGGAGTCTATTTCCTTTTACTTTTTAAAGTTTCAGTAATTTTAAGATTTCTGATTATTTCTTTTTCATGACTCTTTTGTCACCTTAATTCTTTCTTAGGAATTAAATAATCTTCCTTTTAAAGTGGTCTTCCTTCTTTTGGCATCTTAATTTATAATGGTTTTCTCAAATAATCGGTGATTCTTAATTTAGCTCTTTTTATAATTGTGACTTCCTGGCTGTCGGCCTATTCACTGTAAACTGCCTTCAGTCACTGTAGCAGTTAGGGGTGACTGTGCTGGCACTTGGGGTCTCCTGTGTGTGAAGATTTCCATACCTTCTGGGATCTGGTGGCTCCATGGGGCTTAGTACCCATGCTCCTCACCTCAGTCTGGGGCTGATCCCAGTGCTGTTTCAGCTCAGCACAGAGGAAGGGGCATGCTGACTAAAGCAGCTGCTCCACTGCAGATCCCTTGATAATCCCTTTGCTGATTCCCCCTGGCCTCTTCCACTCCTTGTATTCCTTGATTCTGAGCTGGGGTTCCCTAGAACTGTGTTTCTCACTACTGCATGGCTCTTAGCACATCTGGTCCCTGGTCCTATCTGCTTTCTCTCATTAAAGGATCCCTGTGTTTGGGCACTCTTTATCATTTCCCAGAGCTGTTATTAGTATTTTTTAAGATATATCTTTTCTGACACTTAATGGTCTTTTGAGAGGAATGATGGAATTTTGTTCTCATTCCATTGTTTTAATTGAGTATTCATGTATGTGCCAAGAGCTGATTACATTTCTTAATAAGATCATGGTAAATTGGGCCGGCCGAGTGGCGTGTTGGTTAAGAGCTGGCTTGGGACGCCAGAGGGCCCGATTCGGATCCCACATATTAAGGCCAATGACGCTGGCCTCTACAGCTAAGATACTGAACAACAGCTCAACCTGGAGCTGGGCTGCTGAGCGTCGCCGGCGACGGCGTAGGCTGCAGCCCCTGTGTCAGTGGGTTGCCATGGGCTACCGTATGTAGCCAGCAGCCAGCGTGAGCAGCCAGCAGCCGCTGTGAGC